CAAAATTCCAGGCAAAACAGCACCCCCTCAGTCACATGATTGCAAGGGACCTCAAAATTCCAGGCAAAACAGCACCCCCTCAGTCACATGATTGCAATCTAGACACTTATACCTGGTTCACGCTTATGATATTTCCAGCATCCCACAGTCACATAATTGCCATTTACAACATTCTCTGCTACCTTCTTACAAGCAAAGTCAATGGGGAAGCTGGCTGGGAAATTTGCAGGTGGCTCCAGTAAGTTTTTCACACCCTCTTTGGCCTGGCAACAGCCGCCCCGATCCTGCTGCTCTTTCATAAGCCACTCAACCACTCTTTCGCTGTCACACACACCACCCCCCCCAACAACCTCACCACACTCTTGGGCCACTCTCATATGCCTGCCAGGCAGCAGCCACCCCAACATGCTCATATCGAGCCTTGCAAGCCATTCACATAGCCTCCCCTGCCCAGCAACAGCTAATCTTGGCCCTGCCATTCTTGCACCATGCGTTACCTGCCTGCCAGCCTGCTTGAAGGCCACCTGGGACTCAGTTAATGATTTGCGATCCTCATTTAATTATGGCAGTAGGGGTTGCCAGGATTGCTATCACTAAGCAATAAGGTCATGTGACATCACACTTTATGACTACATAGCTCAGCAACAGACATTTTGATTCCAATTACCATTGTTAACTGAGGACTCCTGTAGTATTTTTTAGGCTGTAGTAAAATTTCTAAGACATGAGCCTTTGTGGATTGTTTAGTTAATTTGTAGCATTTTTTTCTTAATTCAAGATTTTGAAATGCATCAGTCAGCTTGAATTAGCACAATTAATAGGTACTGGAGTAAAACCACGTTACATATCTGGGACTGTGAGAGGCCGAGAAGGTTCATTTACAGGAACAAAAGATCAGGCTCCTGATGAATTTGCAAGCCTAGGACTTGGTATGTATTGTAACTATTAATTGAGTGGAACAATACCTTTAACAACATAATACCTATTTTTGGCATAAATATGAGTGTATTTTCTTTGAAAGAATAAAAAGTGAAAAAATTATGATTCTTAAAAATGTATATTTTTAGTCTCTAAATAACTTTATTGTTGGCATCTCATTTTAGTTCTATAACTAGAAGGAAATATTGCTAGACTCTCCATGTCTAGGTCTTATTTAGAAAAGGGTAAATAGGAACCGGTTCATATTTACTGCTTCAAAAATGACATGTCCTTTGCATGTACAGTTTAGTTTTAATCTGCTAAGGTAATTCAACAGCTGTGACTATTAGGAAATACTGAAGAATGATTGTACAAACTAAACGTTCAAGGAAAAATGATTTGGGATTATATAGGAACATCTACATAATATAAAAAGTGTTTGGTAAAAAGTAATGTAATGTAAAGTAATGTAATGTAAAAAGTAATGTAAATATATCATAAAGAAATCATTTTAGACATAGATGGAATAACTACATATTTTTATTCTCCTCTGCTGTTAAATTACAGTATTTTTTGGAATATAAGACACACCAAGGTTTTGAACAGGATATGTGTGTGTGTGTGTCTGTGTGTGTGTGTGTGTTGCATTTGTGCTGATAAATAAAGGGAGACTAGTATAGATCTATTTCAAGCTCATCAACTCTCATCAGCTAGCCATACCCTTAGTGGGATTCAAACCTGGGCTGTATTACATATTAGGCAGTTGTATTAGCCACTAAGCCACAGGCTCTCCTCCTTTATCAACTAGGCCAAGGAAATAGATATTTATTTATTGTGTCCCTTTATTTATTTATCAGCACAAATGCAACACAAATGTAACAAANGTATGTATGTATGTATGTATGTATGTATGTATGTATGTATGTATGTATGTATGTAATAAATGTGCTTTAAACCAATTGGAGATACTCTCTTAAAGTATTTTATTAGTTATTATTATGCAAAAATTACTAATGAATTTGAGTAGCAAATAATTTAAATGGACTACTTGCATCTACAAAACTATAAGAAATGGTAGAAGTGAAGGACTCCTGTTCCTTATAGGGGAAATATGTGAAACAACACATATAGTTTTAACAAGCAAAGCACCAATATATGTCCAAAAATATTTCAGTTAATTAGAGAAAAACTATACTTTTGATTATTAGGGAAAGTGACTATCAATAGACAGTAACTGATAAAAATAAGATTTTTGAGAAAAACCCAAACATTGTATAATTGCCGCAAATTGAAATGTTGATACTTCTTGTACTTCTACTTGTATTTCTATCTCGGTATCATCTTTTAAATGTATAGAACTTGAAAGAAGTAACAGAATTAGAGTAAGAGAACATACCCAGCTGCATTTCTTCTATGGATTACCTTTTCCTTATTTGGTTTATATGTTTCTTGAGGATTATATTACCTTTACCAAATTATTGTGCCCATCCTTCAAATTCTCTGAAACAGTCACCAGAGATCCAGTATATGTGGAATAATCTAAACATAATCAAAATATCAGAAGTATTCTGTGTGACCATATGATCTGCCATACAGGTAGTCCTCAACTTACAACAGTTCATTTAGTGACTTTCAAAGTTACAACGGCCCTGAAAAAAGTGACTTATGACCATTTTTCACACTTATGACTATTACAGCATCCCACTGATCACACGATTTACATTTGGATGCTTGACAACTGTGTGTAACAGTAACAATTGTGACGGATCATAACATGGGGCAAAACTCACTTAACAAATGTCTCAGCAACAGAAAATTTGGGGTTAATTGTGGTCATAAGTTGAGGATTACCAGTATTAAATATTCTTGCATGGTTTTTTTGCCTTTTCTTAATCGGCATTTAATCATACTAAGCAAAGTTCCCATTGTGACTGTTTGAAGATACTGTAGCATTGAAAAAAGTGACTTATGATCATTTTTCACACTTATAACTGTTGCAGCATTCACATGGTTATGTGATCAAACTTGATTTATGATGGTTGCAGTGTTCTAGGGTCATATGATTTCCTTTTGTGATCTGACAAGCAAAGTCAGTAGGGAAATCAGATTCATTTAACAACCATGGTTCTAATTTAGCAACTTCAATGATTTACTTAACAGCTATGACAAGAAAGATGATGAAATGAGGTAAAACTCACTTAACAATTGTCTTACTTCACAGCAGAAATTTGGGGTTCAATTGTGGTTGTGACACAAGTACTATTTATAATGCATTTGAGTATAAAAAGTCAGCAGCCAGTTTTAGATCACCCATTTTTCTTAATTTGCTTGCTTCTGTTTTCACTTTGATTTCTATGTGTACAGAACTATTATATATGAAAAATATAAAATGGAATAAACATTAACAAACTGAAACAGATTATTTCTTTCTTCCTATAGCTTGAGAGGGATGCTTATGTCCAAGCACTAGCAAGATTTACTTTACTTACTGTGAGTTCTGGTATTACTGAAATGAAGCAGAAGAATATTGACACAATAAAAACACTAATTACTGTGGCTCACACTGATGGAAATTACTTGGGAAATTCTTGGCATGAGGTAGATTATCTTTTCAAATATATATAATAATTGAAATTATATAATATTAAGTGCAGCATCTAGTATAAAATTAAATTACATAAAATTATTTAAATTACATACACTATTGTCATATGTTGGCTTAATATTGCATATTGGAAAGCAAACTCCAAAAGGAAACTGGATGATTAACTACTTGCTCATCGACTATTTTTTTAGCAATTGTTCCAAGTTATGACATTGCTGAAAAAAGGGACCTCAAAATTCCAGGCAAAACAGCACCCCCTCAGTCACATGATTGCAAGGGACCTCAAAATTCCAGGCAAAACAGCACCCCCTCAGTCACATGATTGCAATCTAGACACTTATAC